GCCTTGAACCACGGTCAGCCACGTTGGAGTCCAGCAATGCAACCATTGCGCCATCTGCTGGTCCCACAAGCCTGCATTAAATGTCAAATACTAAACCCCAGCAGTCTTCTGGCAAAGCAGCAGGGAAAGCGCTAATAGGACGGCCTCATTCCCAAGGGCAGGATGATGGCAGGGAAGGAGACAGCAGGCCGGCAGGATGTGCAGCCCCGGAATGCGTGTGAGCTCGCCCCTGCTGGGCTCAGCTCCGCCACACTGCTGGGTTTCACTAGGCGTACTACGGTTACGGGAGACTCAGGGAAACCTCGGCATCTCGGCCCAGGACACGTTACGGGCTAAACTGAGTCTGCACAAAAAATCCAGGGGACCAAGTCCGAGTCCCTAGAACCTCAGAATGGGATCATATCTAGTGACAGAATCTTCATAGACATGGTTAAGTTTAAATGAAGTATTAGGGTGCGCCCCAACCAGTATGCCCAGCATCCTTTTAAGAGATTTGGGGGGGCAGGTGGCAGCAGTGGTGATGCAACTGTACCCACATGGGAACGGTCCTTGGTGTGTCCTGGGCCCTCCCTGAGGGTGCCAGGAATACAGGCCCATGCCCATGAGCCAGGCCGGCTGAGACTGTGCTATGCTCACCCACCACTGGCATAAAGACCAGCTGGGGGCAGTATACCTCTCCCTCTCAGAGGAGACAAATGAATAAACTTAATTATGGGGCCAGCAGGTGGCATGGTGGCTAAGGTGCTGGACTCCCACATGGCTGACTGCGGTGTGAGTCCCAGATCTGAAGCCTGCTTTCTCACTTACTCTCTTTCCTCTCTCTGGTAGACACACATGCCCTAGAGAAAATTAAAATAATAACAGTAAATAATTCTTTTAAAAATTATTTAAATTTGACCTGAGATGGACAGAGAGAGGACAGTAAGAAAGCAAGCCGCCAGGTCTGGGTCTCAAACTGTGGTCTGCCATGTGGGGAGTCCAGTGCCCTTAACCACCACACCACCTGCTGGCCCCTAAATAAATAATTCTTAAAAAAAAAAAAAAAAGATTTGGACAGAGAAACTACAGAGGGAAGACCACATGAGGACACAGGGAGGACACAGCCATCTACAAGTTAAGGAGGAGCTTGGAACAGATCCCTCCTTCATGGCCCTCGGACAGCACCAACCCTGCCTATACTTTGAAGCCACCCTGCTTGTGGGTATCTGTACAGCAGCCCGAACAAAAGAACACAGGGCAGGGCAGTGCCTGACACACACCCGCCCCTCCCCTCTGTACTGTAGTTCTGAGGCCAAGGTGCTATTTTGACCCCTGACTTAGAGGAGGGAACAGAGGGTCGAGGAGGGAACAGAGGGTCAAGGAGGGCTAGTGCTCACCCAGATCACACCATGTGACAGGCTGCAACCTTGCCCCGGGTCTGTCTCACACTAGGGCTGGTGTGCTTTGCACCATCATGGCTGCAACACTGAGAACACCACGGTCATCTCACACTTTACATTACAGGTGGGAAGCCTGAGGCCCGGCAGCTTGGCACACTGTCCACATACATACAGCAAGTTGAACAAACACAACTACAGTACGACCCAAGGGCCAGCAGGTGTCGTGAGGGTTAAGGTGCTGGATCCCGCACGGCTGACTACAGTTTGAGTCCTGGACACAGCAGCTCGAGGACTGGGTGCGGGGCCAGCAGGTGGCATAGTGGTTAAAGCGCTGGACTCCCACGTGGCTGAACACAATTCAAGTCACAAACTCGGCATCCTGAAAATCACACTGGGCGCATACGTGGGTGCTCCAAATCCCAGGAGGACAGCGGAGAAAAGACCGTGCTGTGGCTGCCCCCCGCCCGGGGGGGGGGGTGATTTCTCATTTCCCTCTCACCATCTCATTGCAGTGTGCATGTGCCTTAGGACAAAAAACTAAAAAGAACAAAACAAAACACGTTGGGCACGTGTGTGTGTGTGTGTGTGTGTGTGTGTGTGTCCAAAATCCCAAGAGGAGAATGGAGACAGGATGGCCATCTCCCCTAGGGGTGCTTTCTCACTTTCCTCCCCTTTCTTTCTCCACTAAGTACACAAGCCCTATAGCGAATATCTTAAAACAAAACAAAACAAAACAAAACAAAACAAAACAAAACCAAACCCAAAAAACACCTCATTACCCCAAGTCTTGCATTCAACTCAAGAAACTAAACTGTTTTAAAGAGTAGGGAAGCCAGGGAACCAGCAGTTAGCGTAATGGCTATGTCGCTGGACTCCCACGTAGTCGACCCCGGT